GGGTTTAATATTTTTCCTAGAACTTTTTTTTTTTTTTTTTTTTTTTTTTTTTTTTTTTTTTTTTTTTTTTTTAAAAAAAAAAAAAAAAAAAAAAAAAAGAAAGGAAAAAAAGTGCCTCCTCAATCATAAGAGCCAGTTTGACAATTGTACGTAGTAATTAGTTTAATTCAAATACCTAGAGGGGAAAAAATAATTGCAAAACCTGCCCAGAAAGTTTGGTGGTTGTGGGATGGTTCCCATTGGCAAAGGGTCAAGGCGAGGTCCCACCCATCACCTTTGTGTTCCCATGCGCGGGAGGAGCGCTCGGCAGCACTTCCCGGGAGATTTCCCTCTCCGTGCGGCTACGCCCTCGGCTCGGGCTCATTGCACAAGTATTTTAAGCACGCTGATAAAAGCCCAGCAGTTGCTGGCCAGCACTACCCAAACACCTGGCTACCTCTTCTCTCCTGGAGCCAGAGATCCTTTCCCCATGGCTACCCACGTTGGGTATCGCACTCGGCTCCACATCTTCTTACGGACAGGACAGCATCTTCCTCATCCTTCCCAGGCACCACTGCCCTGGTGGGGTGACAGTGCTTCAATGCATGTCTCGGTGGAAAGTTGATGCCAACAGCCAAATAATCATACTGATATTAAAAAAAAACCAATCAATCACAAACATAATTTCAGAGCAGGGCACAAGTTTCTTCCATATCCTACCAGCTTGCCCTTCCTCCCAGTTCTGGAGGCTAATGATTTTCTGGCCAGCCAGGTATTTTCTGCTGCCCTGAGTGACAGCCCGTCCTGCACAACGTCTGCAGGGCAAAGAGCATGCTGGATGCATAGGGGCCATCTTTGCATCCCGTAGGACATCCTGGCCACCCGTTTGCACATGAAAAAAAAAAAAAAAAACCTGCCTTTGCCAAAGTGGAGGTGCTTCCCCATCCACCAAGTTCCTGTTAATGATGCAAATAGGAGAGCTGCTGGAGGGGAAACCGGCCCAGCCGGGTGAAGGGCTCGCATTTCCATCCAAATTGAAATATCCGTTCTTTTTGCAAGGGAGGGTCGGGGGAGTATCTCAAGGTGGTTCAATCTTTATCTGTGGTTTTATTTATTTATTCTTAAAGACCTAGTTAGACCTAAGCCTCTCACTCCTGCTAAGCCCTCAAGAGCTGTTCCTCTGTCCCACACCTGCAGTAGTTACCACCCCTGCTTGGTGCGATGTTCAGAAGCATCTTCATGGGCCAAAGTCTTCCTTGGACCCCGGTGAAGGCAGCAGTGAGCACCAGCTTGCTTTTTGAGCAGCATTATGGTTCTCCAGACCACTCAGTAAAGAGCTGAGTTGGCTCACGGTGGAAACTTGTCCCCACTCCTGCAGGAGTCCTTAGCCTTAACAAACCCTAATTGGACCTCTATAAATTAACGCAAGAGATTATTTGAAGTGATTTGCTACTACTGCAAGGGAATGCCATCAGAAACAAAGGGGATCCCGCACGCTCTTCTTCACTTTCCCATCCCAAGACATGCCTGATGTCTGCTTGTCTCTGCCATCTCTCCTAGGTACCATGCTTGGGATTTGTGCCTCGGTGCAGCCCTTGACCCGGACTGTTGGCCCCACCATCGGTGGAGTTTTATACAAACAATTTGGAGTCTCCTCCTTCGGTTATTTACAGCTAATTGTCAATATAGGTTTGTTTATTTACCTTTTAAAGAGTAAAATCCCACTGAGCGAGATGAAAAACCAGTAACTCAGCTGCAAAAAAGTAACCCACCCTTACCTTTTTTCATAGAACTGAAGACGATCTTGAGTTGTATTTTTGATTCCATAAACCTGTCATGGTAAACCTGGAATAAAACCATTTGAACAGTACCTTGCCCTTCTTCAACATTTGCATCTAGAATCCAGAGTGAGGGACAGATTGGTTCACAAAGGCCTTGCAGCTCTGCTGGGGCAGCTGGTGGCTGTGGGACCCCAGAAGCTATCAGGTTCCACCTCCCCACCCCAACCTGCAGCAGTGGCTCTCATTGCAGGCAATAGCTCCAGATCCTCAGCTGTTGTCAGGCAGCATTCCTGCTTGGATTCACCAAAACTAGGGGGATTAGGGGCCAGTGCCTCTACTCTGGTTTGGCCTTTTCATTCACACACAC